GGAATGTTGTGATATATTAAAAGGTCCTGAGAATTCGCTGCTCCCTTCATCATAGAAGAACAGCAGATAAACTGCCCACTGGTAAACGACCAAACTCACGGGGTAAAAACAAGTGCGCATTGAACGCTTTTGGAGAAAAGAGGATACCGTGGAAATTCCGAATTCGGTTTCATTTGTGCCATTCTGTTCGATGCGTCTGCTCAAAATTTCTTTGAACGAGTCAGACGTGAATATCAGATGTCCACAAATCATGGAGAATAAAGGAACGATGTACAGGGAGAATTGAATCCATGTGTCTATACCCGATCTTGCAAACACAGCCAATATTGCTATGAAGCTTAAACCAAGCAAAACCAGTACAAATAAAGCTTTTTCCAAGAATCTTGCAAAGCGAGTCTTTGGTATCGCCTCAGAGTTAAATAATGCTGTAATTAATACAGTATGAGACAATACATCTTTGTATGTAGTCTGGTGGCCTTCAACCAGCGACATTTTTATCCACAGAGTATGGTTGTTTTGTGCGTGAATATGTTTAAACTTGAGGTCATGAATGAATCAATTAATCTTTTGAAACCGGATACTGTAACTCATTTCGTAACAACTGTTCTTCTCAGAAGTCATGACTTATATTGGTTTGGAAAATATTGGTCCGGATTAATTATAAACCTTATGTAGTATTTAAAACACAAGAAGGAGTGTTTTATCATATTTAAAACGCGAGGCGCAGCCGAGCGTTTTAGATATGATAAAACACGAGTTCGAGTGTTTTGAATAGCTTAAAATACGACTACAAAAGAATGCTAATTAGGATGAACAATTATATAATCATACTAATTAGGATGAATAATTATATAAATAATACTAATGAAGATGAGTTCTATCAGATATAAAGTCACTTCACGTGACATATTATGGCTGACATGATTTGCCACAAGGTTTATGAATTTTTAATGAGTATTTTAATTACATTTAATAGATTGGTCACAGAAAAGAAAAAATTTTAGACCTAAACCTACGTTTACACGCTACGATTTGTCGTGTACGATTCGTATTCTGGCGTATTAAAATGAGTGATGGCGCCATAATTCATTGCCGTTTCATTAAAAAAGAAATTTCAAATGCAGCCAGCTTACGCGTGTTTACTCAATAACATACGCCAGAAAACGAATCGTACACGATTAATCGCAGCGTGTAAACCACAGAGTAAGTACCTATACAGAGCTGTAACTGACCGTTGTAAACACTGCAGCGGAAGATTACGTTTTCATGTACCCACTTTTTTTCAGGCGACCGGGCAAAAAATGATCAACTGCGCGTGCTCGGCAGTTAAAGCCAGTCGTCATTCAATCAGATGCATGCATCTAGAGGCACCAGCTCAACCCGTTTAACCACCTCGATCCAATTTTTAAAATAAGGCCAATACTGCACATCAAATTAAAACCTTTATCATACATGTCAAAATGTTACAACAACAATTCAGTTCTTTGTGTTGGAAATAAAAGACAAGGTAATCAAAAACGAGAAATTAACTACAGCAACGATGCTCGCAACTTGGTTCAAGGTTAACGGAAAACCATAAGTCCTTGAGCCGAACTCAAAAGTTTCAGCAAGTTGAAAAAAATCATCCCACTCTTCTTTCGCCCCTGTCAACTCCCCAACGCTCCTGAGGTAGTAGATATGAGGTATGATACGTGAGAGTGTTTTCGTGATCGTAGCAACTGCCCATAGCAACCGGATGGCGAGCAGAAACCAAAATAGGGTGCGTACGAGGGTCCACCCATGAGTGTACGTGAAAAACATTTCTTTTTTAATGGCCATTTCAACGACATGAGTTATAAGATTAGTCACAGAAAAAAAAGTCAAGAGGACAAGGAATGGTTTAAATAATGCACTATTTGTTTCAACGCTTGACATTAGTTCAACTAGATGCTTACTTACGTCTCTGGGCCTGATAGTTTTTGGGGGGCCACCTCTCCCCTCAGAGGAGCTTGCCCCTTGTCCATTCTCCACAGCGACTGAGCTAGTCAACCCGTTTGCAACCTCACTATCGGAAATCTCGCCGGCGACATTTTGGGCCTCGCGAACTGAAATGTCTGGCATGTTATGTGTTTCCCAAGACCAAGACGCGAATTCCACAAGTCCAAGGGTCAAAAACCCGGTAAACAATGACAAAGCTCTGAAACATAACCTGACCGGAGTTGTGACCCCAGGCCCAGTATCAACTGCCTGATATATGCCATGATTTGTAATTCGCGTTCTAGGATGCACGTTGCTTTTCCCTTTATGTATCAAAGGCCCATCACCAATGTTGTACAGGAACGATTTTATGTCAAGTCTGTGTATCTCAACTACTAGAATAAAACAGCAACCAATAAAGCCCGTCACATACATTGCAATCGTCCAGAATGTATAGTAAAGCGCAAGCCATAATCCTTTGTTTCGATCCAAATGTAGAAGTTTAGCTACGAAAGAGGTATGTTGAGAAAACTCAAAAGGGTCTGAGAAGTTGCCGGTTGCTTCCTTGTAGAAGAACAACAGATAAACTGCCCACTGGTAAACGACCAAAAACACGGGGTAAAGGCAAGTGCGCGTTGAATGCTTTTTGAGAAAAGAGGACAATGTGGAAGTTCCGAATTCGGTTTCATTTGTGTCATTCTGCTCGATGCGTCTGTTTAAAATTTCTTTGAATGAGCGAGACTTGAATACCAGATGTCCACAGATCATGGAGAATAAAGGAACGATGTAGAGTGAGAATTGAATCCATGTGTCTATACCCACCAACGTCGACCAGACTGACCTTTTAAACACAGCCAATATTGTGACGAAGCTTAAGACAAGCAAAACCAGTACAAACAAAGCTTTTTCCAGGAATCTTGCAAAGCGAGTTTTTGGTATCGCCCCAGAGTTAAATAATGCTGTAATTAATACAGTATGAGGCAATACATCTTTGTATGTAACCTGGTGGCCTTCAACCAGCGACATTTTTATCCATAGAGTATGGTAGTCCTTTTGTGCGTGAATATGTTTAAACTTGAGGTCATGAATGAATCAATTAATCTTTTGAAACCGGATACTGTAACTCATTTCTTATATTGGTCTTGAAAATATTGATGCGGATTAATCATTCAACCTTATTTACATTTAATAGCTCTAGAGATTAGTTCTTAAGAACTTTTCTTTCCAGAAGTCATGTCTTAATGGCCACTTAAATTTCCACTCAGGAAAATTTTCTGCACAAAGAGAATTTTGTGAAATGTGATTGGCCCGAACACAGGGCGCGAAATAACGGCTGGAGGGTCGGCGGCCAAGGTGACCGGCCAACTCAATTTTAGCTCGGACATACCGAAATTCTGGCCGGTCAAATGATTCAGCTTAAAGCAAAGCCTAGTAAAGTATACCCCTAAAAATGTGACCATTTTCCCAGTATAGCCGTACAAAAAGCCTTACTGTAATCAGTATTAAAAATTCCTTCGCATAAATCACATAAAACAGCTTGTACTGGGCCAAAAGCATGGTCTTAACTCTTAAGCCAAAGGCATGGCCATGGCCCATGGGCTTTGTGACGTACTGCGTGCGAAAACTGGTGTACATTGAAGTTGTTTTCCTGCAAAATATTCGACAACATGCATGTTATGGTTCTTAATTATAATACTGTACTTGACCACTTTATTTTGATTATTATTATAAAATGAAGATTAGTTTGTTCTTTTACCGAAAGTGACCGGTCAAAATGACCGGCAGGGTAAGAATTTGACCGGACAACTCCGCATTCTGGCCGGACATTGTCCGTTGACCGGCCGTTATTTCGCGCCCTGCGGCCGAACACAAATTTTACGTCGGAAATGAAAATTTTCAACTTGTAACAATGATATTTTCGTTAAATTTCTGTCCGTGGAAATTTTGGTTGAGTGGTGCGAACTTGTTTTGCCCGATCAAAAGGGCGTGGCCGAAGTTGTGCCCGATGGACATTTCAGTTGCTAATAAATATTTCTTTTCGAAAATAATAATTTCAGTCGCTAATTAATATTTCTTTTCGGACATACATATCGTAATTTGTATAATTCTTCAGTAATATTTTCGTAAAATTATCTTTTCAATAAATTATTTTACTTTTCAATAAATTATGTAAAATTTTTTGCTCAATTACATATTTTTCCCCACGAGCGTGTCGTTAAAATTGCCCTACAAAACTGCAATATTACAACATTAGTTGTCGCACCCCCAAATCCCCCCGCCCAGTAGTTACGGTCTTGGGCGTATGACAACTGTTCCACCAGCGCATTGCAACAGCACAGCGCATTGCGACAGACAGATGATTTCTCTTAATTGGCAGTGGGAGCTCGACAAACGGAATGAGTTAAAATAACCTACTGTTCGCCATTACTTCTCCTTTCCACCGAATTTCTTCCGACAAGCGTTTTTTCCTTGTTCTTGGTATTCCGCTTTAGTGATTAGCATGTTCGTGAAGTCTTCGGAATTTGACAAAAGTTTTCCTCCAAGCCATGCGCACGTTGCAGGCCTAGACGAAAAATATATTTCGTAACATAAATTTCTGTGGTATTAAAGAAGGAAATAGTTTGGTTTATAATTTCGAGAAACAACCAGTGATTGTCTATGCTATAGACGCCGAAAATCGGGAACCCCGGTAAAGATAGATTAGATTTATTAATTTTTGCCCACAAAATGTTTACAAGTATAGTGAAAAATAATCACAATAGTATAATGAGCTAGGAACTTTTGGAAATCCTGTTGGACTTTTATTAATGGTAAGGCCCCTAGTTCCCCTAGTTTTAGTATTTCGAGTGAAAAAAGATGAAAGAAGAAACTATTTACAACAAATTAAATGACAAAAAAGTGTTAAGATATAAAATAGTATATTACTATCATCATAGCCTATCGAAGGGAAGATGGCTGTGAAACTCATTAGAATAACAATATAACTCATTATCTAAGTTAGTCAACGTTTATTCATAAATCTGGTCGTTTCACCGTCACGTGTGTATTGTATTTTTACCAAATCCACCAACAGCAAATTCCAGTGACGATGACCAGATTTATGAATAAACGTTGACCAACATAGATAATGAGTTATATTGTTATTCTAATGAGTTTCACAGCTATCTTCCTTTCGATAGGCTATGCTGTCATTTAACAGTGTTTCTAAGGCAATGATCTTTATTTTCAGATCTTTTTGTCTTTATAAACAGATGACTACTCGTCAAGGAAAACTGATCAATTTATTCAAGCGAGAAAAAAAACCATGGAACTCACTCTGATGGCAGATGGACGGCAACATCGAATTCAATGGGAGCCAATGAACGAATATCCGAATATCTGAAAAATACAAATTAGATGCAGGGTACCATATCAGAATAGATGGGAAACAATCATTTTATTAAATCCTAGTTAGGGAACCGTATAGTCGTGAGATATATAGTTTGTTTATTGAGTTTCTCACCTTGAGTAGAGATCCGACCAAGAATTGAACCCGGGTCTCCGAGCTTCAACACCATAAGTGCTGGCAGATTTTCATACATAGTCGTTTATAAATATACATATATTTTAAATGTCGACTTACAATCTTGATTTAAAGCCAGGAAATAGACAGCTTCCTCCGGTCAATAAAATATTTGTGTAGAAATGGGGCTGCATATCTGAAATGGGATGAAGAAAAGCATTTTCAATACGTTTTCATTCCCTGCATCAACTAACATAAAAATTTCGAGCGTAAAATTCACGACATGAAAAATCTTGAAAAGAAATTTCTTTACAAGACAGTTGTATTGAAATATCTGCTGTTGCCATACCTGTTGGTGTAGCGTCTATGGAATGGACGATTGCCTCGGCAATGCCCATTTCTTGCACACCTGAAATCAAATTAATACTTATCAATGGAGAACTTGCATGTCAGACTAAATTTTAATCTAAGTAAAGAGAAGGGACAACACAGCTAAAGAGAGCATAATGAAATTAGTAAAATTGCAAAATTTCGTTGCGAAATGTTGTAATTAAGCTTGGAAAATATAGTCTTGCAAAGCCTTGCAAATTTTGTACTGTATGTTGGTATTACGTGCGGAAATTGTTACCATTTTCGGCTCAAAAATGGTAACAATTTCCGCACGTAATACAAACATATACAAAATATGAAATCTGCTGTGTTGGTGTAAATACTCAGGTGAATAAGATGTTTGTGTGATGTTACTCTGAGTGTATATCCACACCGGACAGGCTTGAAAAATATGCCTGGCCACGGCGGGATTCGAACCTTGGGCTAGTATTCCAAAGGTCGTAGGTTCGAATCCCGCCGTGGCCAGGCATATTTTTCAAGCCTGCCCGGTGTGGATATACACTCAGAGTAACATCACACAAACATCATATACAAAATATGCAAACTTCGTAACCAAATTTTGCAAAATGGTCGACCGTGACAAAATGGTCGACCGTGACAAAATGGTCGACCGTCGTTGTGTCTGCGAAGAGCTATCAGTAGACGGTCACACTGGCGTTTTGCTCGGAAAATAGCCGATGCTGACATATTGAACAACGACGGGCCGTGAGATAACACGTTCAGGGAAACAGCTAAGGAATATAAAAAAGTAATATCTCACCAATATCAGGAGGATGAAACAAAACTTCAGGAACTGAAAACCGCTCGATATTTATTCGAATCATCTATATCATATAATAAAATATTATCTGAGTTAGGGTCTGGTCATAAAGTAACTGCTAGGGTGGGCTGAAGGTAAATCACAAATTTTGCCAATAAGTTTGGTGACCCATCTTAGGATGTAGATAAAAATTTCAAAGCCCATCAAATCTTACAAAACATTTTTCATGACCCATCCAATCTAAATTGGAAAAATACACTTTTATAATAAAAAAACTTGCAGGTATGAACATTGTAAATATACACGGCACTGTATTGACATACATAATTCCACCAAGTCTGACCAACACATTGATACTGAGCTGCTCTCCAGTTGGTTGTATTTGCTATGATTCGACCACTTCTTGTTGAATAAACAGAGTACTGGCTTCAATAGCATCATTTGCATTTGATAATTTGGATATAGTTTTGTTTTCTTTTATTATTAATATCTTTATTTTTCGAAGTAGACATGCATGGGTTTTTGTTTGGTGGCCCAACCGTGGACATACAAAAAAATTTGCGGCCCATCGAAACTGCCCAAAGATTTTCCATGGCCCATCCCAAATCACTCCAGCCCACCCTGGCAGTTACTTTATGACCGGTCCCATACTTAACTTAGTAATGTGTGCTAATCATCATTACTTGCAGCTGACAGCTAAGCAGGAGGCTTTCTAAAGGCGCCTATGGCAGCCAAGTTAGGAGTCCGGTCTGATCGCGGAGCTCAGATACGATGGAAGGGTCAGTTATAGGAGGACAAATCCCAACCCACCCTGTCAACTTTCCCTGTGGGAGGAAACCGGAGCACCCGGAGAAAACCCACGACGTTCGGTAGGGCCAAAAAAAAATATGTGGGTTTCCGGTTTCCCGACCCTACCTAGCTTTTGGACGTCGAAATCCCGACCCTAAACTTTTTTATTGGATCGTGCTTGTAAGTGTTTCCACTTAGAAGAAAAAGTTTGTGGAAAATTGAAATTTGAGGCAATATTAGGGAAATTTATGTTTGGATGTGGAAGCACTGACTAAACAAAATGGCGCCCGCTTGTTCGGAAAATTAAAAAAAAGGTTTAAAAAAAAAAGTTAAAACCGACCTACCCTACCTAAGTTTTTATAAGAAGAAACCGGAAACCCACATATATTTTTTTTTGCCTAGAGTGTTGAATCACTCTTTTCACACGGCTGGCCGGTTATGAATCTGCAGTGAGAATCGAACCAACGATCTCCGAGGTGAAAAAGAACCCAGTATGAATCATCCGTCTTTTATCATAGTACTGTTTGGGCCTTGGCTTCGTGGTGATTCAATTCTCCCCAACTCACCTGTTCATTTTCATTTATCTTTGACTTATCCCACATATCCTCCACTGACTAATAAAAAAATAATCAGGTTATAGTAATATATGCTTCACAGTTCACACCACAGCTGTCTGTCAGGTGAAATACCTGAACATTGAAAGTAGTATATGCTTTGCGGCACGGCTGGCTGTCAGGCAGGGCCGCCGAGAGCTTGGCGGGGGCCCGGGGCAATTTTTTTTTAGGGGCCCCTATTTCAAAACTTTTTCCGGAAAAACATTTTTTTTCGGACAACAACAACCTTGCTTCACAGCACGGCTGTCTGTCAGGTTGAATACCTGAACATTGAACAGACGTTTTCAAAGTTTTTTAAATTCAGTTTTACCCACCTTAATATATCCACGTTTAATATTGGTGTAATCTGGAAGCACATAGTCTCGTACTATTTTATTCTCTTTTCCTTTTATTCTAAAAAGTAGGGATGAAGCTTAACTCAGGACCTCTGTTGGCTTACAAAACTAAGACCATGTGAAAGTTTCTCAGCCTACCTCGCCATTTCTACATCTTTGTAAAAATCTTCAGACACGAAACAGGCGTCTTCTTTTACCTGACGGTGAATAAAAACAACTGATGAAGTACAGAATGTAATTATGACGAGTTAATTCATTACACGTAAAAATCTCACAACTTGTCAACAAGAATACAAGATGTGTTCCATGCCTGTCTATTTAGGGTTTTTTTCAGGTATTTTGTTTTTGAAAAGGTAGTTCTGGCATTTGAAAAGGGAGTTTTAGCATTTGACAACGGAGTTCTGGCATTTGAAAACGGAGTTCTGGAATTTGAAAACAGAGTTTTGGCCTTTGAAAACGGAGTTCTGGCATTTGAAAACGGAGCTCTGTTTTTGAAAACGGAGTTGTGGCATTTGAAAAGGGAATTCTGGCATTTGGAAACTGAGTTTTGGTATTTGAAAACTGAGTTGTGGCATTTGAAAACGGAGTTTTGGTATTTGAAAAGGGAGTTCTGGCATTTAAAAACTGAGTTCTGGCATTTGATAACGTAGTTTTGGCATTTGAAAAGAAAGTTCTGGCATTTGAAAAGCGAGTTCTGGCATTTGAAAACTGAGTTTTAGCATTTACAAAAGGAGTTCAGGCATTTGAAAACGGACTGCTGGCATTTGAAAACGAAGTTTTGGCATTTGAAAAGGGAGTTTTAGCATTTGAAAAGAGAGTTCTGGCATTTGAAAACCGAGTTTTGGCATTTGCAAAAGGAAGTTCTTGAAATGTTCTACCTTACTTAAATTAAACATGCATAAGACATTCTGCCCAAGGATTGCAATTAGCTTCAGGCACTTGTATATTAAGCTTGTCAAAAACCTTGTAGCAAGTTGTCAATAAGCTAGGAGGAACAAGCAGTGCGAACACATCCTGATGACAAGACGTTGAAACAACATTGCTACAAGTCTGCTGCAGGTTTGTTACAACTTGTGCATTAAGTGTGTAAGTTGTATTGGACCCAAATGTACCTCTATTCTTTCACTATATAATCAATTTATATTTGCCATACCTGGTTCATGACATACGTTTCGTCCATAACGTGTAGTTGTCTAAAAACATAATAGGAACAAAACAATTTTGTGTATTAAAATATAAAAATATAATTCCATATGAAATTACTATACCTGTATGAAATGATCTCTTTTAGATGGTTTGTAAGTAACTTTCCTCCAACATTTATCCTGGAAAAAATAAAAGTTGGAAGTCTTCACCATTGAGTCTGGATTACACTATCAAAGTTTCTGCGATCACAGTAGGAATTTTGCATGGGTAAATTCTAAGTTTTGAAGGATTTTGTAAGAAATATTTGAGGAAACTGAGTCGGTGTTAAACATTAAGTCAGCTCCCTTACACATTTCCCACAACTTAGAATAGGCAATTCCCATTATAGACTAATTGCAGAAATTCCTACCACATTTGGGCCGAAAATGGTGCAATTTCCACACGCAATAGAAAAGCATACAAAATTTGCAAACTTTGAAAGGCTATATTTTCCGCATTTTACAACATTCTGCAACCAAATTTTGTAATTTTATTAATTTTAGTATGTTCTTTCTAGCCGTGGTGATTTATTTGCATCTCCTTGCCTAGTTTTAAAATTAGTCTATAATGGGAATTGTCCATTGCCCCATGCAAAATTCCTACTGTGATAACAGAAACTTTGACTTTGTCTCCGAAGGACGTTTCCACTGTCACATACTGTACCTTTGTACACCTTCCTTGATAATCTTTCCCTGATATACGGGAACAATGTGTGTAAATGAATACCCACAATCCACCACAAGACAAACCAGACGTAGACTAGGGTCTTCCTGAACATACTTGTGTGCACTCAGCTGTGCAGCTGGGAATAAAGTTTGAATTCACACGATTAAACCTCCTATCAGGCTATCAGCACAGACTATATCTAGATATATTATTATACTTTAACAACTCATTAATAATTCACGAGGAAAATACAAAAGAAATCGCTGCCGTGTCGATGGTTTTATATGTGATAAAAAATCATGTTCATTTACATCAATTTAGCTTTGATTTTCTCATCTTAGAAAACGTTTATTTTTAAAATTACTTTGCCAATGAACTCATTAGATGGGTCGCTTTTTAAGCCATTTAAAACATTTGCAGTCTGTGCTCTATCAGATATAAAGTTAAACACTCTGAGGCTGTGCTCTCGTGTTTTATATCTGATAAAGCACGAGTTCCTGCTTGTGTTTTAAAATATTACATAATTATTGAATAAGGTATATTATTAGCACTGACGAGGATCGAAAGCTTTGCAATAATAAGTATAAATGGTGTTTCCACAAACCAAAGAACATACAGTATAATTTATTATTCAACAATTTAGTTATTCCGAATAAGGAGTGCATAATATTAACACACAATTTATTAAAACTTAGTTTTAATAAATTGTGTGTTAATATTATGCACTCCTTATTCGGAATAACTTTTGTTTTATTTTTGCTGAAATTATCAGCTGGAGAAGAATTTATTATTCACCAAGCAAAACTACAACAAATTTACCATACCTGTTGTTCTGCATAACGCCCTGTAGTCATATTCTTCAAAGAGAATTTCATCCATAGCATCCTGAAATGTTAGCAATGCATACCTAATTCAATCAATATTATTCTACATGAAATTTAGACAATTCAAAATTTGTCAACACTTACAGAAATTGATGCAAAGTTAAAGTAAGGTTCTGTGATCAATATATCTGTTTCAGGACAGTTGACCTAATTTTAACCAAACAATGAAAAATAAGAGATTGTAAAATTTGCCAACTTCCGGACCAGATAAATTCACTGACTATGATTTGAAGTGGGTTTGTTATGTTTGCAACAAGCTTGCTACAAACGTATTGCAGACACATCTTGTTGACAAGTTGTTGGAACAGCATTGTCACAACTTTTTAACAAGCTTGCTACAAGGCTGTTGAGGATACATCTTGTTGACAAGTTGTTGGAACAGCATTGTCACAACTTGTTAACAAGCTTGCTACAAGGCTGTTGAGGATAAATCTTGTTGACAAGTTGTTGGAACAGCATTGTCACAACTTGTTAACAAGCTTGGTACAAGCCTGTTGAGGAGACATCTTGTTGACAAGTTGTTGGAACAGCATTGTCACAACTTGTTAACAAGCTTGGTACAAGTCTGTTGAGGAGACATCTTGTTGACAAGTTGTTGGAACAGCATTGTCACAACTGAGAGGTGCTTAACATTTTCCTAATGTTTGAAATTTTCTTAGTATCCGGTTGGGATATAAGTCATTCACAGTTTGGCATCCAACAAATTTTAGTATCCCATGGATATCAGGATTTTGCTCAGACCCTGATCATTGTACACTAGCACAGATCGACCATTTGAGGTTATACCTTCAAAGCGTCTTTACCAAAGACGTAATCCCACACTTGTTTTTCAACTCCCCAATTGAGTAATAAACCCTAATAACAAGAATTGAATAGTCAGATAAGTTACTCTCCATGCATAATACTTTGTGTTTGTGGAAACAACACGTAAATTTATTACAAGCCATGCTTTGATACTGTTTTGTGCCCCAGCCCCTAGATTTTTATAGCTTTTTCACAATTGCACCCGAGAGATCTTGTTGAAAACTGCCCAATTCTGCAGTCTGGCCAAAAATCATGTTAAATATACCGTCTGAATATGACGAATCAAAACAAACACTACATAATGATTCACACATG